CTACATGGCTCCCGAAGTCATTACGAGAGCCAAAGGAGAGGGGCACGGGCGCGCAGCGGACATCTGGAGCCTGGGCTGCGTYGTCATCGAGATGGTCACTGGCAAGGTAAGGACGTGCCGTGCGGTGAAGGAAGGAAGCTGCTCGGGGCAGCTCCCCTGGAGGGTCTTGGTCCCCTCGTGGCGGTTCATTCATCACCGAGTCCACAAGAACTGAGGTCTTTCCGTTTTTCAAACTTGCTTCAGAAACATTGCTGTAGCAGTAGCTCTGTTGGCTGTTGCTAAATCAGCACTAAACCTGCATTTAGCAGTTTTGTTACCCGTTGCAGAGGCCATGGCATGAATACGAGCACAACTTCCAGATCATGTATAGAGTGGGGATGGGTCACAAACCTCCTATTCCTGACAAGGTGAGCCCGGAAGGGAAGGACTTCCTCTGCCACTGCCTGGAGAGCGACCCAAGGATGAGGTGGACGGCCAGCCAGCTCCTCGACCACCCCTTTGTCAAGGTCTGTCCCTCGGCTGTCCCAAGCCCTGCCACCCAAGGGCTCTAGATGGGGGTGGGAAGGGGCTCTGTCCTCTGCATGTCTGCCCAGGGCTGGTATCCCGGTGGTGCTGGATAGATGCTGTCCCGAAGGCTTGGCAGCTTCTGAGAGGCCCCTTGGCTGCTCCTGGCAAACATTGGACTAAAAACTGGTGTGCACCATACAGCAAGTTTTCGCTGTTCCTAGATGTGCTGTTTCTATATTAGAAGGRCTTCTCAAACTTTTGAGCAGGCCCCGTTAATTGGATCTCAAGGGCTGCACAGCTGCAGTTTCAGGGAGTACCTGTGCACCTGTGGAGAGAAGGGCCCCTCCATGAAAGCGGGAGCAAGCCCGTGCTTGGGAATGAAACAGTGTGCTGCTCTTAAACATGTGTCTGGCAAACAGCATTGCTATGAAATGCTGCAGTTCTTGTGTTTAATTATGGTTTAATTAGTTGCCTAAGAGTATTTTACATTTTCACCCACAAATTTAGGGGTACTTGTAACTTTTTTTTGGAAGACGTAGGAGCAGTCGGTTTCTGAAGCTGTCTCGTTTTCCAGCACCAAGTTACTCACATTAGGATCCTAGTCCAAGTAACCGTGTTTGGGATCATCATCCCCATCCATCTTTCTTATAAATGCCACCGTGGCCAAATCCTCTCCTCCCCTCGGCAGGATTCTGCCCCAAGCAGGTACGAATTGCAGGGTGACAGCTGGACTTGCTCTTTTGTCCCCTTCACAGGTTTGCACAGATGAAGAATGAAGTTACTCAGTCTCTGGCCTTTTTTATTCTGGCAAAGTATCTCTTAATCACTACTGTATGTAATATTTACATAAAGACTGTGCTGAGAAGCAGTATCAAAGTTAAACATATGAAGACTGCACAGGTGACGAGCGTCACTCCTTCTGCTGCTCCTGTTCTCGGCACATGTTGCTCCCGTGGCGGTGTCCGCAAGTCGAAAGAAGCTGCATGTTTCAGTGAAAGTGCCATTACTACTGTACATGGACCAGACCCCTTTTTTTGTTTTCTCCTGTTTCTCATTTGATTGAGAACTGTAATGTTAATATGTAGTATTTTTGAACTCTGTAGGTTCGAAAAGATGCTGTAGTGTTATCAGGCGTTATGGACCTTGTTTTTTAATCTGTTTGTTGAGTGCACTGACTGTGAACTTTTACTGTTTTTGTTTATTTGTTTTTGGYGAGCTTCAGATTTGTTATGCACAAGGCTGATTAATGAAATTTTAAAGAAGTTTTTTCTCAATAAATGGTTTATTTTAGGAGTCGTTTGTAAGATTGTGGTTTTTTTTTTTTTCCTCTGAAAGTAAATGCATAATAGTCGGGGACAGGGGCTGCTGTCACTCTTCAAACTGSTTTTTTCCCAACTCTGTTTGGAGACAATCTGGAAGGAAGCTGCTTCTACACTGCAGTTGTGGGTGTTTTTTGTCAAGATCATCCAACAGGTAAGACAATTTTATGCTGCAGAGCAGGTAGCAGAGCTCAGGTTCCTGCCTGTCCCACCCTGAGGCGATGTGTGAGTTAGTCTGTGAGGGACAGCATTCAGAAATGAACTTTCCTGCTGGACTGGATTACTATGAGYAGGGAATGGCTGAGTGCAGAATGGGTCATGACAGTCCTCGTGTTGTGCTGGGCAAGCACAAGCAACCCTGCTTTTCCAAACTCTTAGCCCCCACTGTGTGATCCTGCACTTGGGCTGCTCAGTGTTGGTCACTCATAGAAACRGGAGAGGGGGCCCCGGGGGGAAGGGGAGCGGTTTCTGAGGAGYCAGCCTGCCCTGCTGAGGGGTTCAGGTACTGCCCCTTTTGTTCGCTCCCGCCTTATTACAGACGTAGCAACTCACTTAGAAATGCTGGGAGTGCAAGTYTGCATATTCCTGGTAATTCTGGATCTTAACATGAATAACATGCGAAGCAGAAAACTTTTAATAGTTGGCTTTAGAATAATTTTTGTTTCTTTTTTAATCTTTACCCTTTAACTGCAACAAACTAATAGCTTTAGCAGTGGAAGATACTATGAAAGTAGTGGGCTTTTAAATCTAGACGTAGGCAGGCCTCAGGGAGGCTACTCAGGGAGGCTGTGGAGTCTCCTCCTCTGGAGATCTTCCAAACCCGCCTGGATGCCGCCCTGTGCCYCGTGCTCTGGGTGTCCCTGCTGGAGCARCGGGTTGGRCTAGRKGATCTCTGGTTGATTCCTTCCAAGCTCAACCATCCTGTGATTCTGTGAAGCCTCCCTATGCAGTTGACTCACTTGCTATTTCTGGGCTTTCAAAAATACGCTGCACTGCAAGAACCTCCCCTCCCGTCCCTGTTTTCAGCCCCCCAGGCCTCTCCCTTGCACAGCTGCTCCTGTCTGCCCACCTGCTGCTGCGGCGGCAGCGCCGGAGTCTTCCTCGCTCCGCACTCCCCCCGGAGCGGGCCGGCTCCTTGCCGGCAAACAGGACCCGGGCCCGGCCRCTGGYGGATGAGTGGGTGGCCACGGGCCAAAGGAAGACACGCTCACGGCACTTCAGCTGTTTATGCTTTTATTTTTGTATAAACAAACATAAGTAAGTCTACTTTTTGTTAAGGCAGTTGTAGAACATACAGTTGCTTGTGGTGGAAAGGGGCAAACACTGATTCCTACCAACAGAACAGTCATTCTTTTAATACAGTGAACGGGACTGTTTCACCTTTGGCAAGTAGTGTTAAGGTCTGTGTTTTTCAGGGATGCTGGAAGGGCCTGGGCTGCAGTCCTTGTGCGTGGGGGCTTGGAGAAGTGTCGAGGAGGAAGGATCCAGGCCTGGCCTGTGTGGCCTGTGTTCTAAGGGCTGGTCCCAGGGAAGCAAGTACAAAGCAGTCTCAAGGCTCCTCACCAGCTACTCCCATGTTGGGTACTTGTGCCTGGGAGAGGGGCCAGGAACGGGCCCAGACCCCCACGGGGGTTACAGCCCTTCCTACCAGCCTAGCTCGGGCGGCTCTCGAGCGGCAGCGCGACGGGACCGCGGGTGCCGCACGAACCTGCAGGGGCTGCTCAGGGCGGCCGGCGCCGCACGGGCCTCGTTCCAGCCCCTGCCCCGAGCAGCCGGCGCGGGGCGGCCTCGAGGAGCCTCCAGGAGCCTCCAGGAGCCTCCTCCCGGCCTGCGCACCCCGGTACCGGCACCCAGGTACCCAGCCAGGGAGCGGGGCCTCACGCTGCGGCAGCAGCAGCTCCTGTTTCCCTGTTCATGTTAAGCCCATTCCCTTGCGCCCAGAAGGGCAGAGCTGCGTTAGGGCACCACGGGGCCCTTCAACCCTGCTCCATTTTCCCCCATCCACCCTGCAAAGACCCCCCTTTACCTTCTAGACCCGGCCCTCTGTTCCAGAACGCCTCGGCAAGCAGCACGTACACAGGCACATAAACCCCTAAGCCCTTGCCCTGCCTCCAAACAGGGCAGGTGAGGAGCTGCTCCCCCTCTCAAAAGGCTTCTCCTCCCTGCCCCACACTCGAATCCTTCCCTGCTTKTTAGTGTTGTAAATGACCTGGCAGCCTGGGCAGCAAATGCACAGGTCATGTTCTGAYGCTCTGTTGCATGAGCCCTGTTTCTTCTAGCTCTATCTTTTCTGCCGCTCTAATAAAACATTTACAGCAGTTGCTGCTACCTCCRCTTGCTTTCTTTCCTAAAGAAACACAGGCTCTGCCTTCCTAGACTTCCGTGCTGCGGAGCTCTCTGCAACGAAAACGTAACTTCAGGGACTGTGTCAAGGAAAACACCCACTCACTGCTCAGTATCAGTATTTTTAGATTAAAAAAAAAAAACAGATTTTCTTTACTGTTGATAGTTGGAGTTCCCTGCTCACCCACCTTTTTTCCAATTCCTCCCCCTTTTGAATGAGTTTTTTGCACTAACTTCCTTTTACACATCCTTGACACGGGACCTTTAAAAGGAATGTGAGAGCACAGGAAGTTTTTCCCAAGGGACCTGGTAACTATTTTTACTTAATACAGAAGGGTGTCAAACACAGACAAGCCTTTAAAAAAACCCSAAGCCCTGCCCCTGCCTGAGGCTGCGCTCCCCAAACCCAGGAGGGCAGTTAAGAATTACCTCAAATCAAATGTTAGGAGGCTCCCAGGAAGCCGATTTAACAGAAAAAGTAGGAAACGAGATACTTGGGATCATAGCAGTGTAGGAGCAGGGAAAATACCTTGTAATGCACCCTTTGCATTACTTTGTTACAGCGTGGCCCCTGGGTTGTTGTTTCCACCACCGTTAGAAAGGCCTAGTGTTTGAAGCTCAAAGAAGTGATTTATTACCTGCTCTTCCAAACTGCAACCAGTTTATTCTTAGARGAGGTGCCGGCTTCAGGTGCCCTGCCTGGGGAAGGCCGCAGCAGCAGCACCCTGAGCTCTGGTGCCCTGGTGCAAACCGCGCTCCCCGTGAGGCCACGGCGAGCGCCTGCCGGAGCAGAGGGGCCCTTCCTCACCCGGAGCGTAAGCGGGCTGGAAGGGCCCCTGTGCTGAGGGCTGCGGGCTCAGCGTGTGCAGCAAAGCTGCCCTGCTGCTGCGGGGGGCACGGCAGCCCAGGAAGGAAGCAGAGCGTTTCACTGTATTTGAACACYGACAGGTTATAGATGTTAAACTGTTAATGCACCATCTAGACAGTGACCGACTTCCCTCTCCTCGTGGCTTTGTGCTGCCCCTTCCTCAGGGCGCGCGCTCCCCTAACGTGGCAGCAGCCACGGGGTCGGTACTCCCACCCGACGGGCACGATGGAGTTTTTGTCTTCAAAACGTAGGACACTTTTTATAGGAGCCCAAACCAAACAAATGCAAACCTGTTGTGGTGAGTATGTGACGGAGGGCATCTTTCCATCCAGCCCGGGCCCCCAGAGGCAAACAAGAGGAGCGCGGATTCGGCTGCGCATCCTGCCCCTCCTCTGAGCTCACTCCCCGACCGCGAGATGCACCAAAGAGTTCCCACAAGCTGCATTTGTTCCCTTTGGGTCAAGCAGTCCCTGGAGGCGCTACTTGCGTTTCTGCCTGCTCTCGTGGTTGCCGTAGGTGGAGCCCTTGTTGATCTCCGTGACGCCGATCATCCATCTGACACCCACCGAGGCTGCAAAACAAGCAAGAGAGCCGCCGTCAGCAGCAGAGCTGCTCGCGGCCAGGGAGGGTAGAGGCCTGCGTGCTCAGGGCTTTCTGGAAGAGAGTTACGGGCAGGCCTTGCCGTGGGTACTCCTGCACCATCCCAGCGCTCCACCTTTGGGCAGGGCACCCTGCCCAGCTCAGCGGACTCCGTCACCCTCCGCACCCCGGGAAGGAGGAGCCCGGGCCTCGCGGCCTCCCCCGCGGCCTCCGCTCTGCCCTTCGGCGAACGCGGCTCTGAAACGCGGCGGCATGTACAGGGCACCAGCAAGTGCAGGGTATCCCCATACCCCCCTATACCCCCATCCACAAACGTGTAAATTCAYGTTATCATTTCATCATGAAAGCATTTCTTAACTCCAGCTCCCACAGCCGCTTATAAAAGGCCAAATTAATTTACAAGACTGCTACAGTTGATCTAACGTGAGTCAAGTTTCACTAGGCAAGAGGATTGTTTTGTGGCTTATTCGCAGTGCAGTGATGTAGGACTCAAGTTTAGGATCAAGGCAACTTGAGCTCAGGCCCTACTTTTCCACAGAGGCTCTCAGCTCCCCAAGACCGTCCTCGCCAGGCCCCGCTCAGCAACTGAGCCTGCCCATGAGGGCTCCCCTTCCCTCCGGCCTAACCCCAGCACTAACTCCAGCTCTAACCCTCCTAACCCCAGCACTAACCCTCCTAACCCCAGGCCTTCGGCACCTCCCGGCTTGCCCACCTCCGCCTGCGCCCGGGGCCTGTTGTGCCGGCTCTACCACCGCAAGTCAGGACACTTGGAAGCGATAAAGACGTTACCTAAATACCGAGACRGGCCCAGGAAAAAAGCCAAGCAAAGCGACTTTGGCCAGATCTTTAAATATTTAAAACAAAAGGGTATAGAAAATGTTGGGAAAACACTGGTGAATTACCATTATATAAGTGAAGATGGGGAGGTGAAAAAAGGCAAAAAACAAGCTGTAGGCCTTTATAGCTCATCATTAATAAAAAAAGGAGTGTTGCATCTTGAACAAAAAAATATGCAAGACAGATTTATCAAACAGGGAGTCAAAGTTACCTACTTTGGATAATTACACTGTAAAATGTACCTAATTTACTTGAAGGCAAAGCAAGAGGATGCTGTGACCCGGGCAGGAACCACGGCTGTGATTCCCAAGTTTCCTCGGGCCTGACCCGTGACCCTTCCCCTCGCCAACGTTTCGCTGGCTGTTGCCAGCGGGTTCAAAACAGCTGCAGGGAAAGCATTCGGATTTGCCTGAGTGAACAGCACCGGGTATTTTACTCCTTCAAAATACCATTCCCTGCAAGGACCCAAGTCGGCTAGGCTTGGGGTTCCCAGGGKGCCCCCGAGCTTGGTGATAACCTTCAGAAGTAGAGGAGGGAAAGAGCCAGCAAAAATGATGAGCCCGAGGGGGCTCCCRCCAAGCCCACGGCAGCCCACGGCGCAGGGCTAATCCCTGCGGGACAGGCAAGAGCCCCCACGGGCCACGGGAAGGGCTTTCACCCCGGCCATCAGGAGAGAGGAAGCATCTCTGACACTCAAATGGCCACGAGCTGGGAAGGGCAGGGAGGATCCAACGCGCACTCCTGGGATCACGACACCAACAGCGTTAAGCCTTTAACCGGAAAGGACAGAAAGAGCTTCAGGAGGGAGACCGGAGTGGCCGTCGGAGCGGCCGCCTGGCACGGCAGGGCCCGGCGCGGCCCTCGGGCCTCGTCGCTCCCGCTCCGCCCGCGCAGCCCTGCCGCCTCGCGGTGCCCTCTCGGCCTCCTCCTTGGTTCCCGGCAGCTCCTGGACANAAGGGCTTTCACCCCGGCCATCAGGAGAGAGGAAGCATCTCTGACACTCAAATGGCCACGAGCTGGGAAGGGCAGGGAGGATCCAACGCGCACTCTGGGATCATGACACCAACAGCGTTAAGTCTTTAACCGGAAAGGACAGAGAGAGCTTCAGGAGGGAGACCGGAGCGGCCGTTGGAGCGGCTGCCTGGCACGGCAGGGCCCGGCCGACCCCTCGGGCCTCGTCGCTCCCGCTCCGCCCGCGCAGCCCTGCCGCCTCGCGGTGCCCTCTCGGCCTCCTCCTTGGTTCCCGGCAGCTCCTGGACACGCTTTAGTGCCCTCCCTCCCTGCCCACCAGCACAGCCCCAGCGTGAGAGCTGCCTGCCTGCCCATGGAGAGGGGCAGGGCGAGGGGCCCCGGCTGGGCGAGAGGATCACATTTTGGGAGGAGAGCAGAAGCCCGGACATGGCTGGGATCCCCCTTCCAGGCACCCTCCAACCACTGCAGGACGATCCCTCCCCATGGAGCTAGATGCCTCCCTGCAAAGGATCCCTCCCTGGGAAGGCTCCAGGCCACACCTGCCGAGTGGGGCAGCTCCGAGAGCTCCCACRTGGTCATGTGGCTACAACGAGCACCACGGATTCAGGAACAGAAAAAGAAAAACCGGAACSATCTGGGGGAAGCCTCCCCTGCAGCAGGGCAGCTCTCGGTGCCACATTCTCCACCTGAGAGCTTGTCAGTAGAGCAGGGGCGGAGGCAGAGCTCCTCACACCGAAAAGGCCGCTCAGCCCAACTGAAATTGCAAGCAAAGACGAACAGGGTGCTGGTTTCTGCGAGGCGCTGCTGCTGCAGAGGCACCGCTGCCCATCTCCTCCTCGCTGGGGGCACTGTGCCCGTGTCTCCCCTGCCTCACGCCTGCGAGCAGGCTGCTCCTCGGGCCGGGGCCTTCCCCACGGCCGCCCTCCCGGGCTAGGGTTTGTTCTGAATACAGCTGCAGCCGTAAGAGCTTGCTCTGCTGCTGCAAGGACAGGGAGGAAGAGAAGCGAGGAAGGAATCACAGCTTTTTAATTTCCAGTTAGAAGCGGCTCYGGCTGCCAGGCTGCCGGGGGTTGGTTGGAGAAGGGCTGTTTCAACATTTTAAAAGCTCAGACTTGACAGAGCCAAGAATGGAGTCTGTTTCTTGAACATTTTTAGCTGCAAGGAAACCACCTCATACACAATAAATACCATATCCCTCGGTACGAACCTCAGCTGAGGGCAGAGGATTTCCAGCCCTCCTCTCACGCTGCAGGACTCGCTCTCTGCTGTTTCCTGGGGTTCACCCCACACAGCTACAGCTGTGACCAGCACAGCAGGCAGAGGGACAGAAATTTCCTATGGACAGTCTGCAGAGCACCTAAGTTTTATTGGTCACATATGGAAAGGAAACATTTGCACAGCTATGGCTTCTGCTATCGGCTTTCCACCTAGCTGCTCTTTGTGCTGTGGCTCGGGGCTGCCTGGGGCCCTGGGCTGTGGGGCAGGCACCAACAGCTCCCGCCGAACCCCGGCCGGCTCCTGCTGCTACACATGGAGCACCGACCCCACCGGGCTCGTGCCATCAAGCCCTGTGCCATCGTGCTCGTAGCACCACACACGTAAGAGCTGTTTAGCCATTTAAAAGACAAGAGAAACTCTTTACTCTTTTGCATGCGCAGTGAAAATCTTCCTTTAAATTGCTGTTGAAGGCTCTGTAATAAAATACCTCCAAGTGCATGCACATTGCCCTCTTCAACACAAGGTACCAAAACATGAAAGGCAACCTGACACTGGGTTCTTTAGAGCCAGAGATTAGGGAAGAAGAAAAGCTGCTGTCAAATACAGCAACTGACATCTGACAGACTCATTCAGTGCATTAACACAGAAATATCATCACCATAAACAGCAGCTGTGAATTAAGCACACTAATTTCCTGCCGTTTGTCCTGTGAAGCTAAGGCCAGTTTTCAAAAGGGGCTTTTGTCCCCCAAATTACTTGAGCATTTATCCTCTGCAGCAGGGACTGCCTTGTGGTTGAAGCTGTACCACAAAGGGCTCCTGGTCCCAGACCAGGAGTCGGACGTGAGGACAATGCAATGATTATTTTGAGTATRAATAGCCAACCAGCAGCAGAACAAAGAAAGAGGGCACGGCTCAGCAGGCGCAGTATAAAGAGGAGACATCCTCCTTTATTTAGGTCTGAGGGTGTTTGAGCTGAACCAGCAGAGCTAAATATACGACCCTTGTTCATTCCCGGGATYGGAAGGTCGGGGTCTGAGGTACTGCTGTGCCGCTCTCACTCCAACCAGCGCCGACGGGGGGTTCACCTGTGGTTCTCCCAATCTGAATAGCTGGTTACTGAGGTGCCAGTAAGGGCCTGGCTAGCAGGACTGTCCTCTGRTGGGCTCCAATGGGTGCAATAGCCCTCCCAGGCCTGGAGTGTCAGTGGAACARGCCAGCTGGGAGGTCCAGGTCCAGTCACTGAACTGCCATATATAAAAATAYGGTCGCAACTGCTACTTCTGCTTCTTTCATTAAGGAATAGAAGGAAAAGGCCTCCTAGGGCCACCGTGAAAAGTGGTTTTGTCATCAGATTGCAGGAATATAAATTAGCTAGTCTGGTTTACAGGGAAAGCTTCATTTCACATTGCCGACTCAGCCAGGAACCAGATCACAGCTCACGCTGGAAAAGAGGGCAGACACAGTCCCTGGTGCTTGGCTACAAACCACACTGGCCACACAGGCCGTTCCAGCTGGCACCAAGAGCCACGAGTCTCAAAGGACATTCGTGTTCTTCCACAATCACCTCCCAGCCACCCAGAGTCATTGCTGAGCCCTTGCCCCAGGCCAGCAGCAGCCCTGTGCGCTGATCCTGCCTGCTCCCTGTCAGGAGGCGGCTGCATCACACCCGGACACTCGTGACAGTCAGACCCTTCAAGGGAAAGGGGGGCAGTCTGGGGAGATCTGCCCYGCTACAGAAACCAGCCTCCTGGCTACAGAAGTCCCTGTGACAGCCTGGGCTCATGTTCTGGTGCTTGCACAGCGTGGCCAAACATCCCCAGCTGGGAACAGAGCTACCTTTAACGGGACACGGTAAGACACAGGCTGGACTGCACCAAGGGAAGCGTCGCCCGTGCAGCAGGCAACAACACCTCTGCTTTTAGCCCCCCAGGCTGGGCCAGCTCTGCTTCTTGCTGGCTTTGCCGCAGGCCGAGCTCCCTCCTGCTCCCATGGGCTCTGCGCCCCACGGTGCCCCACAGACGGATGGGCTGCACATGTGTTGGGTACCAAGGCGCACGGGGGGCACTGCTGGCCTCATGCCTGGAAAAGGGAAATTTAAGCCACAAATAAGACAACAAGAAAGCAGCGGGCTTTTTTTTTTTTTTTTTTTTGGCTATCTGCTCTCAGTAGCATCCCACAAGTGGATGACTCTGGTGCTCCTTCCAAAAGCAGGGTAAATACCCTCCCAAATGGGACAGTCTGGGAAGCAGCATTTACCACCGTTAAAGTACCTCATCCCTTCCCATGTTGGGTTAGGGTACCCTCAACACAGACTGGGGCAGCTCAGCCTTTGTCTGCAACCCAAGGGGATCTGAATCCACATCTCCCATTCCTGAGGGGCACAGCCCGGCCGTGCTGCTCACATGGCTCCAGGTCCCTCTGGTGCAAATGGAGGCCAGCTCCTTGCTCAGAGAAAACAGGGGACACTTCTCATGCCCCCCAGCACACAAACAGAAAGAGGCACTGAAAGTTGTAACCATTGTTCCAACAACTTCTCATGCCTCATACCCGAAACACTTTCAAGTTAAAAAAAAGTATCAGCACTTCTTCCAGGTGCGGATAAGAACACAGGATTATCCATCCTTTCCTCCACTTCCTGCTTATTTGAATATATGAACTATGAGATTAGAAGTTATCCTTGCTCTTATCCTCCTTCTCTGGCCCAAAGCACAGCGAGACAGATCATTTCCATGAAAACAAAAACAAACAAAAACCCATTCTTCTTCCAATTATGAGGCACTTCCTCAGTAGCTTGGATGGAGCCCTGATTTGGTGGGCACCTTTRGAAAGCATATTTTGCGCCTGCCCCAAAAAGCCCCCCACAGAGGAGCAAAGGAGGTTATTTAATTGATTATGATCAGATTAGGGTAGGACCTGCCCAAGACACAGGCTTTCTGGGAATGCACAGAAGTGACATGTTGGAAATGAGAGCAAAGAGACATTTCTGAGGCAAGAAAGAACTTAGTGCTCTCCTGACTGCTCTTCTGGACATGGTACTTAACCTGTCTCAAGTAGCTCTAAGTTCCTTCAAAACCAGGATTGTGAAGTTATGGTTCTTTTTCTTTTGGAAAGAACGTTTGCAATACATTCAGATGTTAAGGGGGCTGTCAACACGTATGGCAGTGCAGCCACATGAAATACTTGCTCTATTAATGTATGACTTACTGTGTGAATGGGAGCCTACTCTGCAAACACCACTCGGTGCACCAGTTAAGCATACACAGCCAGGTACAACCAGGCTCCCAAACTGACCTCGTTCCTCCTTCCACAGAGGACATGAAATGAAGATCTTCCCGACCTTTTAGTAGGCTTTTTYGTTTTGTTTTGTTTTGTTTATCCTCCTCCTTTTAAATAATATTCCGCTTTGGCCACAAACCACAACAGTTCACAACTACCACAGGAACTGCAGGAACCAGCAATGACAGTCTTTGCCCCGTGCTACACAAATGGGTCAGCCTAGATGGCCACAACAGGCTCTTCTGGCTTTAAATCATAAGCTTATGCATTGGCAATAGGTTTCAGGTCAGCCTATGATTAAATGAAAGAATCCTCAACAGAATTAGCCATGTGCATCTCTGAAGAGTGCAGTTCAAGCGCACCATGTTGGGCACTACACAGGAAAAGAAATCTTGGAGGCAACCTCTGCAAAGTAACTATTTTGATTTCTCCAGAAGCAAGAAAATAGCATGCAGCTGTTACAAAACAACAACAACATAGCTATTTTAAAAGTGCTTTTAGCCCATTCCAGGCTGAAAAGGATAAAATGTTTGCTATTCTGTTGAATTTGCAGCTTATGATTACATTTAGTAGGCCTCATTAAATCAGGGGACAGCTGCCCCCACGTGCAACCTTAACACGTGCCGACAACTTACCCATTACGATGACAAATACAAAACTAGCCAGTGTCAGAGAAGAGCCGCTGTTGGCCATGTTGATGAGCAGCTTGAATAAAGGGTATAGCAGCAAAAGGGCCCAGAAAAGCCAGTTCAAAAGCGTCCATGGTCGTCGGGGTGGCACTATGGGCACCGCAGGGTAGGCTCCTGTTCTGTAGTACTCTTCCTGGAAGGAATCCTGCGAGGACCAAGGACAAGGCAACAGTTACATCCCCATCTGCCAACACAACTGCCCCTTCCWGACTTTGATGGCTCTCTGGCTGCACATTTATAACCCTGAAGGAACAGCAAAGACCTTCTGTTTTTAAGTGAGTAAGTCCATATTCARCAAAGAGCTTACACTGATGTGCCCATCCTGTCTGTCTCCTACACACAGGAGCCTGAAAATGCCAGGCCTAGAAGGTATAACTAGCTCACTAAAACAAAAAGGATGGGCACAGGGAAGAGAACACAAACTCTTGCAGCATTGCAAACCYCCATTGGCACCTCCAGCAGGAGCCAGAGCTGCCCAGCAAACTGCTGCTATGAGAGAAAGCATCCGGGATCCATCTTCAGCAGTAAATCCTCTGCTCCCTAAWGTCTTCCCCAGGTGTCTGGGGGCCAGAAGAGGGAAGCAGGCACCACCGTGCCTGAGCTCAACACAGCACAGCCCCTTCCTGCTCCTGCTCCATGGACGGAGCCTTGCTCATCTCTCATCCTCCTCTGGAAGGAAGTCTGGGTGTTCAACCTCTCTACAGACAGCTGAGTGCGCAAGCAGCTTAACTCTCTGCTTTAATATAAAAGGAGGGTAGTGGATTGAGGGGTKATCTGCTGTTATTCGGAAAAAAAAATAAAAAATGAAGCTTAAAAGGCCAAGCACTTGGTAGCATGCGCTGAAGACCATGTGGGTGAACGGCAGGTCTTTATCAATGTGATCAGCTCAAGAAAACACCACTGGTGGAAAACACAACTACCCCTCATGGTTCAAAACCTRAAGAATACTAATGTGTATTAACTACCTAAAAGTGGCTAATTAATAAAGTCAGAATTAGCCCAGCATAAAAGGAAAACTCAATTTGGTCAGAATGAAGCGATTAATTTCTCTCCTGAAGAGGAGACTTCAGAGAGTCTCCAAAATCTGGCCAAGTCAGGGCTGTCCTCAACAACCACAGGATTGTTTTTACTATGCTCTGATTTCATATTTACTTACACCCCAGCTGACACACACAATTCTTTAATTATTTAATRGCAATTACAGGCTGCTGCCGTTTTATCTAATTCAAAGGGCGCATTTAGCTTTTAGGAGATTACACAGTAATTAGCGCGTAGCACTCTGCTTGCTGAGATTAGAAAAATCTCGTCTGTCTTGTGCACGTGGACGTGGCTGCACTGGGATCATTACGACCAATTAATTAGCTGCCTTTGACAAATTATGCAGTGTCTGAAGTTTTCTTTACAGAGCCASGAGGAGTGTGGTGAGGAGTTTAACAGAGAGCTACTTATCATTAGTAAACTGATTTCTCCGATACATGATTAGGCTTCTAAATACCAGGAACACCCGGATTAAATTAAGGATTTCTCACTACACCACTATGGCCGTTAGGGGGCCCAGGGCTGCAGGCAGGAAGGGAGACAGGTTTAAAACCAGCCTTGCTTGCCTTTCCGCTGGTTTTCCTGGGCATCAGGAGCAGCGAATGGGTCAGAGAGGCCTCAGCAAGAGGCTGGACCCAGAGGACCAGAGGCCGTAGCCGCCTGCGCCCCCACTCCACACTTCACACCACAGTGGGCAGCCAGGATTCCTCGCCCTTGCAAGTGCCCATATTCCCCATGGAAGAGCCCTGTAGGTTGATGGGGCTTTTGAGAGGGATCCACGAACAGCTCAAGTCTGCATCTGACCCCACAGTGCTCCTCAACACCACCCTCCCCACCCCATGCCCAAATTCCCTGTCGAACTCCGTGTACAACTTCCCAGCTTGCACTAAATCTCACCCAGCCCCCAGGATAGCTTTCAGGCTTGGGAACACGCTCCGCCAGTGTCCCTCCTGCACCCGATTTACTTCCGACAGGGGGTGACAAAGGAACAGGGGCTCCCTGCAGCTGCAGCCGCGGTGCTCCCTGCAGCCTGGGCGCTGCAGCCGGGCTGCACGCACCTTCCCCGTCCYATTTGAAAGCAGAAAGCAGAGTGCTACTATCAAATAGGCACAGCAGCTGATGAGCACGTATGTTGCAATGCATTACTGCTCCCTGAATATACCTTTTTTTCAAATGTATTTTATCACGTAAATATTTATCAATTCTGAAGACATTAACCTGAAGGAGATTTCACTTTTTGGAAGCAGCGCTTGGGCGGCAATGCTGCTTGTTATCTAACCTAAAAGCCAAAGAATTTTTAAGAGAATCGCATCAGAAAGGTGAAACAATTCTGTTTTTTTTTTTCTTTTTTTCCCCTCCTTTGGGCTCAAATCTCTTAGCAGGTTTTCCCTTCTTCCCCAGTATAAACAAATGGCCTGTATTCTCCAAAACAATCTGGTTTTGCAGAGACATGGCCTCTGTAGTAAGGAGTAACTGCAGTGAAAGAAGATTTCACTGATGCAAACAGCTGAAAGAAGAGGAACATGCCATATTAAAAAAAATATATAATATATATATATTTAAAAAGCTTTTAAAGGAAAACTGAAAACACATTCCTTCCATAGTTAAAAGGGAAGCTACAAATGTATTCAATCAGCAAACTAAGTTGTTACAAAGAAGAAAGCAGGATGGATGCACACTTTGTTTGAAATGGAAATAACTGAGCTTTTGCCAAATAAAATAATGAAAACTTGAAGTGAAATAAGGCAAAAGACTTAACGGGAGATTCAGGAAAACAATCACCACACTTATTTAATTTATGTTCTTGTCTTGCAAATGTCTAAACATTATCTTAGGAACATGAAACAGGGTCAGAAACAAAGTTACAGCAGTACCAAGTAGATTGCAGCATTCAACTAAAGGGCCGTTTCCATTTATATTCCTATACAGAAAGCACAGGCCAAAAGGTAACATCATGTCCTTCTGCAAAAAGGTGCAAGATATTCATAAAAACAAAAAACTTGAGGAACATACTCCGATAATACAAAGAATGCACTTGGAATTCTTCCAAATGCATCTACAGCACACAATTCCCTATCCTATGGAATCAGGGATCTTAAACGTATCATGTCCTCTGTGTACAGAACCTGAAAGAAAATTAACAGGCTGTCCAATTAATACTAGTTACTTGCTTTGGTCATAAAAATAATTAAATAAAGTCCATCCAGGACTTAAAACCAGGTAAAACACATTTAGCCCAAATGTTACTTCTTGATTTAGGATGTATCTTGAAGGAGAAAAGAAAATCTTCTACTAATCAGCAGGCGGCCTTTTGGTTGTTTTTTTTTATCCCTATCCAACTCTCTAAAAGAGAAATAAACCTTTTTCTTTCTGAGGCTGCCCTTCCAGAGGAGCAGAGCCCCTGTCCCARGCACACAAAAAACCCCAACCCCCAAACCTGGAAGTATCACTCACTGTATGTATTAYGCACAGTACAAAGATCCACTYCCAGTATAAATAACTGGAAATTACYGATGAGCCACCAGGGCTCAGATAAACAAAACAAAATCAAAACCAACAACACAAACACCTTTTCTTGATACAGTTTGTGGAGCCAGTTAGAACATTCCCGCTCATCTTGTGGGACTTCCTCTAATGGAATCCGCCTGCAAACAGTAAACAAGAGAAATAACAAAAATATTTAATAATTCAACTGTGATGAACACTTTTTTTTTTTTTTTTTAATGCTCATTACATTTTTCCACTACATTTCTCTCCATTTTTGCTATAGATATTTGGGTAAAGAACTCCAAGACTCTTCCAAAGAATATTCCTTGTCCTCTACATTTAGGAATGTCAACAACAACTTCTAATGATTATTTGTGTTTTATATATGTATACCTACACTGTAATAAAATAGATGTGACCCTATTGTCTTGCTCCTTTGGTCAATATAGTCATAAGGAGAGAAGTTGGGAAGTCAAGGCAATAGAAGCAAACAAGGCCATGCAGATTTTACAAGTTTCCATCGTGTGCAACACCTACATTTATAAGCATTTATAAGCATTATAAGCAAACATGTAGGATTTTGAGGAACATCGGTGTTGCCCTAAATCATCTGTGTTGCCCAAAACAAGCTTTGCCCTCATCCTTATGCTGAATGGAAGAGCTTAACAGCAAGCTGAAAAGGCCAGAATGGAGAATAGTTACAGAGCTCTGCAAAACAACTTTCCTTCTCCGTTAGACTGACTTGGAGCAGGTTGCAAGGGTTAAAATGAAAAGCAGAAAGGTGCACACGTCTACATTGTCAGCAGAGGGGCTCACTCGGGCAGGAAGGGCCAGCTGGTCCTGCAGTTTGGTATGCCATCAAGAAATTAAACACACATTCCTTACCTTACATATAAATCTGCATGGTATTTCTTTCCATTTAGAACTCCCAGTAACGTTGGATTCTCATTATTTCTAAAATTGAGGGTCGAATCATAGACTGCCGAAACTGCAAGAGGAARAACAAGATATGTGATTACCACAGCAAACACAATTCTTCAGCGTTATCACAGTCCTTTTGATGGACGGAACTAAAAGCAAAGTGATTCTTTGGTAAAACACCAAATGAGCAGAACAGTCACTCAACAAGGAGCACATTCAAAGATGAACATCAGCAACGGTGCCATAGTTTCAGCTGTTACCAACAGCAAGATGACAATAGAGTATTCAACCATACTGCTGAAGAGGCCAAATACCCAGTGATCCTTTCAGGAACTACTACAGCAGAGGTAAAGGGTTTGTTCTCCACCTTTCTGTCCCTCCCCATGGAAGGCAGGATGTTGGGGATAAGCAATATGMAGTTAAAGTGACTGACAGTGAAGTGCTAACATAGAGAACATCCTAATGGTTGAAAAAGTACCACCTTGCACACCTCACTGAGGGCTTAGAGGCAAAAGCTCCCACAACTGAGCAGATAAGCAGGCAGATAAATGCTTAAAAAACTATGAACAATACATCCAGTCTGACTAGTTTGACATCTAGTCCGACATCTCAGTGGCAGCCAGTGACACGACAAGGGGCAATGGGTTTAAGCTGACACACAGGCAGTTCCATCTCCATGTGAGGAAGAACTTCTTTCCTGTGAGGGTGACAAGGCAGCGGAACAGGCTGCCCTGGGAGGTTGTGGAGTCTCCTCCTCTGGAGATCTTCCAAACCCGCCTGGATGCCACCCTGGGCCCCGTGCTCTGGGTGTCCCTGCTGGAGCAGGGGGTTGGACTAGATGGTCTCTAGAGGTCCCTTCCAACTTCAATCTTTCTGTGATCTGTGACTAGAAATGGGTAAAGTCTGCGGGACATGTCCTAGGGCAGGAGGGCCACGAGGCCTGCAGGCTGGCCACGGCGATGGGACATCTTCGTACGTGGTGAAGGCAGCTACCAGCAGCCTTCCCTCAAACTGACCTGCACCCAAGACTTTGGTCTTGGGTAACAYCCTGTCTGCAGGTCTGGACTGCAGGGTGACACTAAAAGCATCCACAAAAGTCATTCTTACTTTCCCTCAGACAGCATCAAAATAAAATTTCTCAAGAAAAATGACATTTCTCATCCAAGAGCTTAAGAGTCCAAAAATCTCTTGCTCTAAAACAAGTTTAAAAAAAACAAGTTAAAAACATTCCAACTGTCCTATCACCAGACGAGTTTAGGCAAGGCTTCAGAAGTTTTGCTTTAATTATGAAATGACATACACTTCTTAAAAAAAGAATAAATTCTCTTAAATTGAAATCTTTTTCACTAAAAAACAAAGTCAGTTCAACAGTATCAAGTCTTTCCAGAGGTTCAAAGCAGATCTTAACTCCAAACAAATTTGTTCAGCTGMATTGCTAGTTTCCGATAAAAGAAGCTAGGTTTTCTGTTTTATTTTCAAATCACTGAGCAGTTCCCTTTTATACCTTTTGCTTTTGATTCCCTTTATAGGATTACAGCAGAGAATGGCATACTCTAGCGGAATTAACAAATCCTTGGATTATACATTTAGAAAGTGTTTTCTAACACTTTCTAACTCAATGTATAATCCCTTATATACAGKATTCCTTTGCATCCTATATATTCCTATATAATATATACGGGATCCCTACATATGTACCGCTTATATATGCCCTTGGTGTTTCAGGCAGTCCTTTGTGGACAAGGCTGGTTCAGGGCCTGAATGGGGCGGGTGGAGGCGATTCCTTTATTTTGCATGGGTGTGAAATCTTTTTTGCCCGAATACACGTTTATACCCCGGGCACAGCACAGCCAGGTGCAAAGGCATCTCTCCACGCATGCACCTTCCTACCCYATCAAACCAGCTGTGTCTGAAGCTGCTTTTCTGCGAGATGCTCCRACAGGAGGGCTCCGTGTGGCGCCTCGCAGGGGTGACAGGAACACCCGAGCATGGGTGCCCATCACCCATCACAGGCACGTAGCCATAGGAGTAYGTTAAAGAAAATCCGCCAGTTCCTACAAAATAGACCTGTGTATACTGASAGTCTGCACATATCACCACCTACAGCAACATGTCATTGCGTATTATTTAGGGACCAACTATTACTGAGGGTTGAGAGAGACAGAAGTGGTCAATCCTGTCGGCATTCGCATAAAAAGGGAGTAATTTCTAAGAAGAATTTACATTTTTAGAGCATGGGTTCTGGCAAAACAGACTTGCAGCATATTCTCTATTTAGAAAAAAAAAAAAAAAAAAGGAAGAAGAAGGAAAAAGAGGCTTTCCTGTCATTACGACAGCCTTTCAAATGCTCTTCACTTCTTCCTTTCTCTCCAGGGGAGAGATCCGAATCCTAACTTGCGYTTTGCACAGAGTGACAAGGCAGGTACAGCAACACTTCCACAGGAATTTGCAGATGACAGCTATCTGTGATCCACTATCAAACAAGACTGTTTTGCTTAGAGGTACGTAGGCTGGATTTTTGCAGTAACAGCGAGTATCTATGAAAAGCTGTGATGTCTTGTGCTTCTCATTGAGCCCTAGCGCAGAAATCCTAAATTCTCATTAGCCTCAACTTGTCTGATCTAGCAAGTCGCTGCTTGCGGACTGAGGTAGTAACACACACGTTCCTAAGTACATAAACAATTTAGGAACCCAAGTCTTCTTTTTTTCTAAAAGTGCTTCAGATATTTAGCATACTAAATGGTTCTACATTCTAATACGTTCATGTAGGTAAACTCATGAATTCACACTTTTCAAAAACTGAACTTGGGGTCCCCCAAATGACTAATTTCCTTTTGAAGCATATCTCCACAACTCAGTTGCTTGTATGATTACAAGCCATACCAGGTTCTGTTTGCTTTACACAGAGTAACAAACAGCAGCAAGATGCTGCAGGCCATGCTGCCCTCCTCCTCAGCAGGAGAGCCTTGCTTCTTCAGAAAGGGAAGGTTAAACTGKGCCCTTCTCAGAGTTGCTCACGGCTGCACACAACTTCCCTCTCTGTGCAACAGACGAGAGCCCAACTATGCTGCCCATTCTGGGGAGGCAATTTGTCAGGGCCTGACGAGCTGCAACACTGRTATCACCTACCTGACTTGCAAGAGGATATGGAGAGAGACATGATGGATAGCAGGACAGCTGACTGCAGCATTTTTTTGTACTGCAGATACTACCCCAGATCTGACAGATGAAAACGTAGCTTCACCAAAGGCAAAAGGAGTTATGACTTAACATCAGTGGAGCTAGAACACTGCCTTTTTTATCTGCTTAAATAATATCATGTCTCTAATAGCACACAAATCCTCCAAATCCCAAAAGTATTGTAGCTTCTGAGTACAGCAACTTTGCACTAGTGGTCATTTCTTTGTCCAGAAAACTACACAGTGGAAGACTTCACTGGCTCATACCAGTTATAAAGAAACAACACACTGCAAAGGCAAGGGGAAATGTGCATGCCATATTCTTACCAATCACATTCTCAATGCAACTGAAGCAACCAGAGGGTAAAAGAAGAAGACAGAGAATAAGCAAATTCTGCTTTATGTTAGTGTTATGCAATAAGGAAAAAGCTTACTGATAAACCTCTCCTACATATACATTCAGAAGAAGTCTGTCTCCCTCCCCCCAAATCCACAGAGGTCTTTTGACCTCTTTTGTGTTTGAATTTGTCGTATATATGAAAGCAGAACACATTTTGAAACAAATTCAGTATTACTTGATATAAATATTTACCTGAGGAAATATTTAAGACAGATGATCTYAGTTTCTCTGAAACTATAGAATGTATTTGTCTTGGAATAGGAATAGGATTTCTCAGTAGTACAGTAAATACCAGCCTTTGGGAGTGTCAGTGCTCCAGTTGAAACTGAAGGCATGAAATCTCTAACCCCTGATACATAGCCACAAAAGAAGAA